CAATTTATTAAGGAGAAAACTTGCTATTCGAGTGCCACCGACATCCGGTTCAAATACTTCAGACAGATATTAGCAGTTACTGCACACTGATTACTTCAAGTATCTTCATTCGGCCATTTATCTCTGGAATGATGTTTGTGTAGCCAATACGGGTAAAAGGTTTGCAATACTAATAAGTGGAGGCGTGTAGCGTAGTGGTCGGAGGAACTCTGCAGTACACATGGGACCGATCCCCATGCCTAAAGCTCACTAAACCTTCCATCATTCCGGTGTCGACAAATTGGTGCCAAATTTGCCTGCGAGGTTAGCAGCACTGTCTCGATACATCGGAAGGCCACCGCGAGTCATTGTAAAGCCCAGATATGCATTCAATCACCTTAAAAGATTCTTAATGAAGTGGAATGCATGGCGCATCCCTCAAGGAACGATCAACGCCGAAAGCTTTGTTTTTTCTTTCCGTTGTATGTATTATATACATATATATATATGTGCGTATGTATATGACATGTATAAATATGTATGTGCATATACATACGTAGGCCACGGATCTCTCTTATACAACGATCTCATGCCGGTTAGTCGCTAGGCTGCGTTGTGCGTCCCTACGTGAGCGACCTTTTCTTTTCTGTGAAGCATATATATCCATATGATGGACTCCCTGTTTCTACTGCTCTGATGGGGCCAACACTGTCTAACAGGGCGTATTCACTCATGCGTGCGTGTGTGCGTTCTCGTTAGCGCGGATTGTATCCTGCGAGTCAATTCTGTCAAAACCCTGTAATCAAGTAACAGGGAAGTATGTGCTTTGGGAGAGACCGGCAGGCTAACCATGAGTAAACCCAGTGCCTAACTTCACTGCCGAGAATACATGGGTATCAAAAAACTAAACGCAGTAAGATGAACGGGGACCACTCGCTGACCTCAAAAGAGCCGTGATTGGTCAGTTGGTTAGGAAGGGTACGGAGAGGCTGCTAAAATCTGAGATTCATTTTAAGATGCCTAATTTGGCAAGACTAAGGTGACGATCTGTACCTACAGTGTACATATACTTGCATCCGAGTTTTTGATAGATTGAAGACTTGCTCATGCAGGCAAGAAGGATAAAGTCCGAAGTATTCGGCCCGGCCGAGAAGCGACGACGCCTTCCATTTAACAATTTGTGACACCGGAGAAGAACTGTTGCTCGGAACATACGCTTGTAGAAGACTAGGCGACCCCTTTCGCAAGAGTTTGACCATGAACATAGATTTATTCGAACAGCTAACAACCCGAATCGAACTCTGCGATTGAAGGGATGTGGATAAATACCAGCTTGGCCCATCTTCGTCGTTTGTGAACCGATATCGAGTTATGACGAAGACGAATTCGAAGCGTTCTATGTGGAATTAGAGGAGTTTCACAGGGAAGTCCGTACATTCACCATGGTTATTATTGGAGATTTTAGCGATAAAGATTGGATCTAGAAGAATGTCTGAGCAACGCAGAAAAAGTGCCCACGGATTAGAATGGACGAGCTGGGTGTGCGGCAGTTTGAATTTGTATTGACGACCAAGACCGCAATTCCATTATGGTGACACGCAATTCCAGACGCCCTATTCTCAATGATGTTCATTTCATAGTAAATCGAAGGTTTTGCCTTACCTATGTCGATGTTGTCCCAAAAGTCTACATAGGATCAGACCATCGCCTTCTTCGTGAAGAATTTCTTTTTTCGCCGAAAGTAGAAAAAGTCGCTAAATACAAAAAACGAAGTCCCAAAACCATCATAAACCGGGATTTATCCAGTTCACTGGTCGGCTGTTGAGAAGATTCCGTTATTGATAACATCGACAAGGAATACGATGGGCTCATTCAACATCTTCACCTTAGCGCTATAAAGGTTCAGAGTCTAAAGTCACCAAAAGATGCCTGTCTCCAGAAACACTTGAGCTGATACGCCAGTCTGGAATCGCATGAGCTGTTGGCAATCGCGAACTAACATGCGAACTTGCAAGCGGTGGAAACGGGCGATAAAATAAGTTCTTAAAAACCGTAGAGCAGCAGCTATTTCCGAAGTTGCGGAGGCTAGAAGCATTCGTAAATCCTACAAGAGCTTCGCCAATTGCAAAACCAAGATGACTACACACCGGCCCCCAGACGGAGTGCTTACAGCTTCCAGCAATGCAATGGAGAAAATAATTTACGATTACTACTCAGATCTCTTCAGTAGCCACGTCTTCCTTGCCTCATGTGAAATGAAGAGATGGATACGTCATACCACTGGTTTTTCCTTCCGATATCTGACATGCTATTTCGTCGGTGAAAAAATCTAACAGCACCAAGCCCGAACAGGATAGGATCAGAACACCTTCGGCCACCTCTCGTAAACACGTTGTTCCTTCTCTTTACACTTTACCTGTTTGAATGTAAGGTTCCTTCTAAGTTGAAGAGCAATAACACTGTGCTATCGTTCAGAAAGGTGACCTGCACATTATCGGTAACTATCGCCCTATTCGCTTGGTGTCTGTCTCATCTACAAACTTTTTTTTTGAGTCATTCTAAACAGGATTAGCAGACCACTGGACAAGGGCCAGCCATGTGAGTAAGTTCGGTTTTAAAAAGAGTTCAGAGTGATAGACCATATCTACGCAACAGCAAGACTCGTTGAGATATGCCATGTGTGTAAAAGTCCGCGCTACCGCACTTTCATTTGTTTAAAAAATGCTTTTGACTTAGTTGAGATAGAAGCAGTCATGGAAGTCGCGGACAGCCAGGAGTGCACACTCAATGTGTAATGATTCTTCGTGAGCTGTAGAAAAATGTCATAACCAATGTATCACCATTCTACAATGATATTGACATCGACTTGAAAAGAGAAACTACGCAAGGCGATACCATCTAGCCAAAGTTATTCATCGCCACCCTGGAGAACGTCGTACGAACATTGGGTTGGATAACATGGGAGTGAAAATCGATGGCGAGCAATTGCACTATGTTCACTTTGGTGATTACATCGTTCTTATAACACCTAACTTTAGCCAAACCGAATGAACGCTTGCTGAGTTTGTTAAGGCCTCTGAAAATGTTGGTCTTTGACTAAACTCTGCAAAAACGGTGTCCACAAAAACGGTTTGGTTACGTATGCCTCATTCATTCTCAACGGAACGAATATTTCTAAATGCTCCAGTTTTGTCTGTTTCGCTTGAGAATTTAGCAAGATGAACGACTTTGTTGAGAACAAGGAAGCGAGTTGTTTGTGGAACTTTCAACAGCGTCGAACATCTAGTGAAGAGGGCAAAGAAGGCTCGACTCCGTGCGCACCTTTTCGACTTTACGATTCTCCCTACTTTAACCATTGCGTTAGGAACATGGTCGCTAAGAACGATAATAGATTACTCAGCATTATTGAACGCGCAGTCGAAAGGACAGTGCAAGCAGTGTCCCTTTTCACTCAAGTGACGGAACGAATCCGAAGCTTCGATATACGTCAACGATGAGATATCATGGGCTAGACACGTAATGCATATGAACGACAACCAATGAGGAGGACCTGTTAATGACCGGATTCCTCTGCATGTCAAACGTGCTGCAGTAAGACCACTTACCCGATGGCCAGAGTTCTTCACGAAATGCGTAGAAGAAAGATATGAGTCTCTATAGTGAGCAGAACCTACTGAGCTACTGTTGCACGCAACAGGGAAAAGTGGGAAATTTGTTGGCGCTTGCTCGAGTTTACGGTTGAGTTGAGGTTTGGTATGAAAAAATACCACCTTGTGAGCGTGATCCTACTGTGAGTAAATGAGGTTCAGAAAAAGTGATTCTTCAATAACAGCAGCTATATTATATATTTCGTCTGTATTTTTTCTTTTTACATGTGTACTCTTGTTCACACTACATTGCTATCCTCCTGGCACGTGAAGGAGTGGGGTAGTCGTACCTTTTTCTTCTTCAACTGTTGCTGAAAAGGACAACTTTGTCATAAAGACGCTCTAGTAATTGTGTTGTAGAACTGTGAGCGGTTTTTGTTTCCAGGATAGTTTGTTTTTAGCGGGAATTGAAACTGCGTTCAAGTCTTTCATTCGATGGTTTTGGACATTGTTTCCCTAGAAAAAATCGTGCATAGCACTCTTGGTTATTAGTTGCACAAATAGTAATATCCAATTCTCCGATACCCAAATGCGCGTCGTCTACCACTTCACTGGCTAACCCCACTAGTCTCTGATTATTGTGAAGAGGAGGTGAACACTTGTAGGTTCAACAGGAGAAGTATGAAGATTTGATCAACTCACTTATTGTTGATGTTGAAAGTGCTAAGTCAGAGTCATGCTTTAATGTAATACCGTGCAGTTAAAACATCGGTCTTTTAAAAACCGACTCTCATTAAACCTCGGTAAAAATAATCGCTAAATCTTCTCGGATTGTTAAACAAACACGAGGTCGATATAGATGTTTATTGCTTAGCAGTCTAAGAAGCTTTGCTTATTACTCCCGAGGCTAAATGACGGCCAGTTTGAAAAACCATTAATGATGTCCTACACGTTTCAGCTAACACAAGGTTGGTATTCACTTCTATTGGGCCATCGTTTCGGCGCCTTCGCCTTTCACAGTGTCGCATTGATCCGTGTCGATGGTCCATAACTAATCGATCTGCCTATGTGAGTTTTCGTAGTCGCATTGAATTTGGTTTTAATTGGTTGCTTACTCCTTATTTTTATTCATATTGGACTGTTGAAAATCTTTTATTTCGACTTTTCTTTAAATTATGGTAATAGCTGTGGTTACTGGTTGTCACTCAATGTTTCTATTTCGTTATTTATCAGCTTATAACTTTAGCTGTTCGTTTGTTGCTGATAAATATATAGTCTGATTGCAGTATGGCCTCTCCTTAGTCCTTAACATTCACTCAAACATTTGCTGCGTTGATTATTCGGGACTCAGGTGCAGCTGTGATAACAACTAGCAACTCTTCCTTCAACATATTTAGAATGATTTGTTAGTACTTTAGTACTTTCTTCTGCAAAATGTGCCGAGCGAAATTTCTGGTAAGCATCATGACCATCTTTCCAGCTAACGACAGTCAACGTGCTATACGCTTGCAACTAGTCGTAGATTTGGAAGCAGAAGACTTGAGTGAAGTCCAGGGTGTTGTCGCGGAAACTCAAGCGACAAAAAAAAAGAAAGTACGAGAACTTTATAGAACGTTGCTGTTGTACTGCTACTTTACAAGCCACAAATTTGTTTATGGTATTAATGAATCTCATGATTCATTTTTATATTGTTATAAAGTATCATGATTTCGAATACGTGAATGGTTAAATTGTTCAGATAGGACGTAACGTCAACTGACCGCCTGCATAACATTGCGTGGAAATCACAAGGTTAGTTCAATGTTATATCGGCAATAAATGGTATATCTGCACTTTTATTGTTCAATGTTAAGTAGTAAGCACAAGATTGTCGAATGCTGTTCAGAACTGCCAAATACTTCAGCTATCGTTTCCATCATTCCATAGCATACAGGTGTCTACTATCAGGAATTTTTTTAAATCAGCTCCCAGAGGGCGCGGGTGGCGCAGTGGTCGTAGGCGCCCTGCATCACAAACACCCTGCATTCTATCTCCGCGCCTATGGCCCACCAAGACTTTCATCTCTCTGGGAACGGCAAATTGATTCCGGACTTCTCTGGGAGTAGACCATCACTGGGTCAATACATCGGTAGGCCACGACAAGTTATTAGAAAGGCCAGATACGCATCCACTCCAGCAATGCTTAATGAACTCGAATGCACGGCGCATTCCTCAGGAAGTGGTCAGCCTCGGGAACTGTATATATGTACATACTTATGCATATATATATATATATATATATATATATATATATATAGCTTAGGGCGCACTATATTGTAAGGTCTACCATAGTTTCTAAAACTAATGAGTTAGATTCTGTGAACGGTGTCAACATTGTTGCATGCCCGCTGAAAGTATTTGCACTTCTTACACATCTCGTTGTGCAGTGGATTTTATTAGTTAAAATATAGACTAAATAGGTTTAAATATCTTTAGAAGAAATTTACAACTATCTTACAATATAGTAACCCAATTCTAGTTTTTTTTTTGAAATCCACAAAGTATTTTTTCGTTGTTTTTCTTCGTTTCTTGTTACGAACACTAAAGCGGAAGAGCAGTGGGGATTTTGTGGTACAGGACGCGATAGTTTTTGTTCTTTGTAGATTTAACTTCTAGGCGAATTTATACGTTTTAGAAAATCTGATTGCACCATCAGAGCGATAGTTTAAGGCCTCTTCAAGAAAACTCCGTCGCAGCTATGATGCCTACGGAAATATAGTTGTGTTCATTGTTTTAGATTTGGTTACCGTTTTACATTAACTGTTATTTCTAGGTGTGGATGAAACCATACAACCTCAAGTTGAAGAAGATAATATTGATGTTACTGAAGAAAATCGTGAGTGTTTAATACAAGTCATTTTTTGGACGAGCACAGTTATAGCGATCAACTTGGGGTAATGGTTATTAAAATATATTTAAAGTCCTTCGTTTGGATTTGATTATCCTTTTGTGCAACGATGGTTTCTAGATCTCGATGAGGCAATAGCAGCCTAACTTGGAGAGCGTACTATTTATCTCACTGACGAAAGTGGTGAGTGTTTCCTACAAGCCTCATTTTTTGGACGTGCATAAGCGTAGTAATCAACTCGGGAAAAGAATTGTGAAAACATTTGTGACCCTTGTTTTGGATTCGGTTACTCTTCTATACGAACGTTAATTTTCAGGTGAATATGAGACACTTGGAGATCAAATTGGAGAAGATCCTATTGTTCTCACTGACGAAAGTGGTGAGCGTTTACTACATGTCTCGTTTTTTAGACTCGCAAAGGCATAGTGATTGACTTAAATAGAATCACAATTGAATAACAATGTGCAACTTGTGGAGATATGTGCTGGCCACATAGTGCTGTGTATTAGTGCGTGATAGAAAAAAGCGTCCAAGTATTCAAGTAGCTTTGTTCAATATCTCGGCCCCAAAAGGATGGAAGTATAGTTAATCGTGTGAAATCGTATTGATCCTTGCTAACGCTTAATTGCACTTTTGTTTCGTTTTTCTAACGATGGATAGTTACAGCTTCTCTTTCGGCACGGTGATAGAGGATGATGAGCACGAGAACGAAGTGATCTGAATCAATGATTTGATGGTATTAGATGAAGAATTCCGTATACTCCAAGATGTTTTCGTAGGTAAATAGCACCATGCCGTACCTAATGATAATTTCTTTTAGTTTCTCGGTTCGTATTTGTTAGTACTACTGGTTTAATGAGACAAAGCAAATGATATCATAACAACTTAATAATGGTTGCAGTAGCTCAAAAAACCGACTTTTTATGGGTATTTGTATAAATAGTCGACATATTTATTTATCTGTTCTCTTAAACTGATCTTGTTGAGTAGGTGCGAAGTTGATATGGTTCACATTGTTGTTGTTGCTATTGTTGTTGGTTGATAGCTGACTTTTCGGCGATTTCGCCTTTCTCGGAGCCGAGCTGTTACGAGTGGGACTCCATTTTTTTTATAATTACACCCTTTTGGTGCCAAGAGACCGCAGTAGTTCGCACTCACTTCTGAGGTTCTTTTGTACGATGCAGTGTTTTTAATAGGCACTTTTCTTAAACTACAATGAATTTGGATTACATGTAATAGCACCGCTATCGCTGAATGGTTTGAGATTTAAGTTTTCTGAAATCCTTTACGAATGTTGGATTTATTTCTTTCGTGTTGCGTAGTTTACCACTAGGTCTCGAAACTAGTGCTTGTAAGGGTGATGTACTTCTGTTTTTAAGAATGATATGTGACCATGATAGCCTGTCTTGATGTATTCTCATTAATATTAGGTCGTCGGATGGGGCAGCTGTAGTGATCCCGCTCATCATGCATAGCCCGAACCACACAAGCCCTGCTTCGTTGCCGGTACACAGTAACTAAGTTCTCATCGCTCCGAGATCGTGAAATTGGTAGCGGAATGCCCTGGACAGACTGACTTTCCATAATCCACTTGGGAATTCTCTATTAAGACTATCTCAGAATTCCAGCGAATATCGACTTTTATTTACTATGTGTCACTATGGCCCATCACGCAAGCACTTTGCTTTCAGCATTCTCCTGTATTTAGCTACTTGTATTGAGTGAATAACTGTGTTTCTTATACCCCTTTATTCTTTGCGTTAATCGTGATTCTTCATAAACACTTTGAAACTTCCAGGGAATGAACTTGCTTGGAGGGTGGTTTTATGCAAAGGAATTGACCATTGAAAAGAAAACGAGTTGAGTACAATGCACGTCGTCTATTTGGTCGTCCCACGCATGCATAGCGTACAGTGTAGCTTGGGTGTTATGTGTTAACATTTCCACGATGGTACCTAATCACGAGTTTGCTGCGGACTGGGCGACGCCTAATTTTCAACCTTCATGAGTCTGCTAGTTCTCGGAAAGTAAACAATGTTTTTTTGATAACTGAAGGACTTTGTGGGTTGCGAACATCAATGGATTATAGAGAATGCTCAGCCAAATCGTTCTATGGGTACTGATGATATTTACGGTACTATTTGCTATACATCATAGAAATACTACCGTCAGCATATGGGAATTTTTCGCAATTTGTGGGTCTCTATTTCAATATTTTTTAGCTGGTTTATATTCAGTATTTTATAGGTGTTTATATTTACATGACTACCATTCACTGTATGAATTAGAATTAAAGTAGTAGCCGACTAGAACCCAAATTTCTGGTCGGCGAACTCGTTCGCGTAACGGCTTTTGTATATCTTAAACGCAGAATAGACCTTTTCCAGAGTACCGTCAAAGGCATTATCTCTGTCTTATGAACTCTCATTTGATAAAAAAAATTTAGTGAAATAGTGTGTGTGTGTGTGAAACAATGTGTTAAAACAAATCACCTGAGAGAAAATGACACTTGTGGATGACGTGCCTGTCAACTCTATGGAACATCTGTGAGAGATCGCTTAGCACCGAGCGCTTTAACCTCCGTCGTAAACATATCCATCTTTCGTGTTTTCTTTTTTTTATTTCTTGCTCGCCTTGTTTAGGTAGCACCACCTTGATCCGGAAGAAGCACAGTGGTTTGCGTATTCAGTTACAATGTGCTTTCCCAATTGACATCACTGCAGACAAAAGCTCAAAGGACCGAATTTCTATAAAACTCCGGGTAAATAGCCGATACGTATGTGTATATATATATATATATATATATGTATGTATATATATTTTTTACGAAATATCGATGACGAGCTGATGCGAGTTTGGTACAAGTTGTTGTTTTTGTTGTTGTTGTTGTTGTTTATTGCTGTTGTTTGTCGTTGTTGTTAGATGGTTGAAGTATCGGCGACTTCACCTTCGCCTTATAATTCGGTGAATAGCCTTATAGTATCAGTAAACATCTAACACACAAGTGAACGTCATTCCGTTTAGTAACAATTTACCACATTGTTGCGTGTGGGATCACCCTCATCAATCTATTCTTGCGTGAAAAAGACGATGAAGCAGTCGTTTTTGTGTTGGCAGTTGAGTAAGCGTCGGTCATTGAGAACTGGAGCTTTCATTCTAGACATTGAAGCGATGTTAAGCCTTGGGACTAGTCGCTTTCCTGGCAGTTGAGTAAGCGTCGGTCATTGAGAACTGGAGCTTTCATTCTAGACATTGAAGCCATGTTAAGCCTTGGGACTAGTCGCTTTCCTGTGGCCAATCCTCCAATTTTCTCGATAACCTGAAGATTAAGCAACTAAGTAACTACTTGAAGAGAGTCATTAGTTGTTGAATCGACAAAACATACCTATTTTTTTTCATGTTCTACGATTATATAGAGAATGGCTTTTTTTAGAGAGCCAATCACCACAGTACTGTAATGATTTAACTTGCAGTTCGATAGCGCAGTCAATTCAGCTTTTTTATATAAAATAAAGATCACCAATTTATCGGCAGCATATAATCACATGGTGAAAAGTAGATCCTGCAGCATAACGGATCAAGGTCAGTGAGTGGAAAAATGAAAAGGAAGTAATTAAGACGAGGAATCTAAATGTTTTCTAAAATGTAATATGCGTCCAAAAATGTTCACAACGACTTTTCAATTCTCAGTATAGTAAATTACAACCACAATGACGCTCAGATGGACCTTCGAAGGAGTCTCGTGGTGTGATGGTGAACGTGTAAGCCCCCGGAAAGTGTAATACCGCGTTCTTTCCATTCCACAGACACCTGCGGTCCGGTGCTGTGCAAATATTGCAGCATCGTTCTGGTTGTATCACACATAATACCCTGCCGGGAAAAATGATAAAAGGCAGTGAATAAAAATTTAACATGTAGTGAATTGTTCCGAGTCGATGCCGAACGATCGCAGCAGAAAAACGCTGCATGAGATCGGATGACTGCTACAATGATTGCACCTCATGTATAAAGAAAAAGCTAAAAAGAGCATTTTATGACATGGTGTATAGGTAACGCAGAAGAGGTTTTAAAAGCTTCGCTGCGGAACCCTGCTTCACCCACCGCTCATTATGGACATCTTAGAAAGTTGGAGAGACGAAACAGGCTTCGATGGGAAAATTTGCTCAGAAATCTACTGATCAACCTCCATTCCAGTGAAGCGTCATCTATTCCCACCGGATAAAGCAAAACAAAATGCTAGAATTGTAGAGGGTAAGAAGATGTCGTTTTCTAGAAAGTTACTCTGGTGAAGAAGCACGGTTAAAATTGTTCCAATGCATCCGAAATTACTTCCTAGCAATTCACTTAAGATTGCGATCTAAACGAAACGCTCAGTACCGCTGATAAAGTGGTTTTGAGCCATCTGATTCGCTGCTTTTGTGTTGAGACGACTTAAATAAAATTGCTGAAACTGTTCATTTTTCACAGAACACCCTGCCATTAAAAAATAGTGGACAGTAAATAAAGATTGACGATATTGCCAAAATTGTCATAACAGCAGTGAAACAACTAAATATGAAGTGATGCAGAAACATTTTGCTGTACAAAGACTCGAAATTTGATGAGGAACCAAGAACGTCAGAAGGCGAATACCACGTTTTTAGTAATAGACGAAGCCCTGGAGAGTAGTGTAGTGGTTGGTTCTCCAAAACTCTACTGCTTGAAGAGGCAACTCACGCGACTGCTGAAGCAAAAAATTGACCTATTTCTCGTTTATTAACTTTTTCAAAACCTATTCGACGATCTCTTAGTGATAAAGTGAATTATTTGAGGTTATTTCAAGTTAGCTGGGTATTAGAATAGCAGAAGAACAACTCTAGAATGTTACTCTCTATCACGCGTATCGACCTGACTGAGGAAAAATGACGGTCTTAAAAAAACTGTGGCAGTTACTGAACTGCCGCTTAGCACACCACACCGTCAGCTACTAGCTACCGCTCATGTGAGCGTCTATAGAAGAAAAAGTTGTGTGATCTCCCATAACGGCATGTAATGGGATTGCACGGCTCCGGGTAAGTTGATGTAAGCCATGCGTTTAAAAACCTATTAGCAAAATGGGTTGACCACTTTGTGTGCGTATAAAAGAACACCTAGCTGAGAAACCTAAGATTTCACAAACTGGTCGTCCAAGCACACCTGAGCACAAAAGCACAACAGTGATGATTTCGAAGATACTATTATGATCTTATCACAGGAATCAAAAACATCAACAGGCAAGCCCCTGAAGCTTCATGGACGAATTTTAAAAATCTAAAGACGACTCGGAAGTGCCTTTGCTAATTCGTGTGGTCTGGCCTCTTTTCTCAGATTGATTTTTTGATATGGATGTCTCTCAGGCGTGATCACACGTTGACAACAAACGGGTGTTCTTACACCTCACAAAGTGT